ATCGTAAGCATGTGGATATTAGGTGTCCATGTTGTGAAGAGTTACCCAAATGTCCACAGTTGAGGAACAAGGCAGCCTGATGAGGGAATATTATAAAGTGTTTTTAAAGACATGGGGAAACGCCTATGTTTTAAGTTTATGTGTATGTAAATATCATAGAAAGAACAACTGTGAAATGTAAAATTAATAGGCTTGTGGAAAATTTTGGAAGAAACACAGCATCATAAAAATTAACAGCCATCTGAACAGTTAGATTTCTGTGTTTTCCAAATTTTTACCATGGACATGTATCCGTGATTCTGTTTAGGTTTTTATGACCCACTAGAAGAATGTTCTGTGGTTGTTCCTATACCTACTACCTGGACAGAGGGCCTCTCCTTCCTTAGTCACCACTACTTCTTCCTACATATCTTGAACAGCTTCCTTTGCTGTCCTGAGTTTTTGGATCCTGGGGCCCCTCTGGGTTTTGGGAGACGTCGCCTTGACTTGGTACTGCTGAGGACACAGAGGGCTGTCAGGCTCCCCCAGAGCCTCCTCCACAGCAAACATCCCTGCAGTATTCTGTGCATTTGCCTGCTAGGAGTCTGATGACCTGTGGCCCCTGGAGCACATATGTTCCCAAGAGCCAAGATGCTCTGTTGCTATTCCTAGCCACCCATCTTTCTGGCCCCTGGCCCAGTCTCCCTACTTGAATTCAGTGGTCCTGTAGGCAGGTGGGTGAGGTGGGGAGCAGCCCAACAAGGCAGCAAGGAGCTACCCATGGTATGTGCCTCTCCAGGCCTCATTCACTTGGGCTCCTGGGGTCAGATCTGGATTAAGTCAGCCCCTTGAAGTCCAGGCTGGAGCTCACTCAGTACAAGCAGAGTGCCTGGCCCCACCACTATCTGTAGCCACAGGCTCCTCCAGCCCATCCCCCAGGGATCCTTTGAAGTCCTGACCCACAACTCCCTTGGCTAGAAGCCTGAACCCCGCCTCCTCCCCTCTTTTCCCTGAGGCTCAGTTGGAGCCTGTCTTCCTCTCTAGTCAGGTGCCTACCGCCATTCGGTAGGAGAGGAGGACAGGCTACCAGACACCAGTGGTGAAACCAGGGGCAGATGTGTACCAAGTTGGGACAACACTAAAGGCCCAGGAATGGCTGAACCCTCGACCGTCTCTGGGCCAGCCCACCGTTCCGGGTCTCACTGTGAAATCTCCAGATTTGACAACCAATTTCTCTTCAAAGCATAGTTTCCTTCTTTACAATTCACGTTCACAGAATGGTTCTGTAAGGAAGGGCTTCCATGAAGCCTTCCATACATGACTGAGGAAATCTGAGAGCCATCCTTAACAGGGTTCGTCCCTCCCCAGGGAAGTCTCCCTCTTTGCCAAGCCTCGCCCTCTGAGCACCTTGTTCCCCTGTGGACCGGGACTCCCTGAGCACCAGTTGGCTCATGTTCAACCCTCTGCAGTGCGGCAGTGACTGCAGAAATGGGCTTCATAGAAGGTTCCAGGCCCTTGGCAGGGGTGGGGGTGGGGAGCTCAATGTGTAAGAACAAGGGACATCTTTCTAATCAACTGAGTGGACAGGTGCCTTCCATGTGCCAATGTGGATATGTGACATTCAAGACGTGATGGGCCCCTTCCCCTAACCTGGCATTATGAAACTCTCTGGAACGTGGCCACAACCCAGGGATGAGGGGACCCTAAGTAAACTTAGATTAAGTTTCTGCCACTATGTAATGGGGATTTTTGGTAGAAATCTATTTCAATTTTAGAAAAATAAAAAAGAAAGTTTACATGTCTTACACTTCTGAGTTTGCAGACTAAAGTCCACTCCGACTTTATTTTTAGAAGAGGACGTAAGAAAAAGGAAAAAGTTTCAAAGTTCCCACTGTGCCTGGGATAAGGCCTGCCTCTTTGTCATTACAAGCCACATCCTTCTGTTTGCACTGGCTCCATCTCCTACTGGACACCTCTGTCCTTTCGCCTAGGCTGTGCCCTGTGTCAGCACCACACACTGTTCTGCTCACCTCCAAGGCCCAGTTCAATGTCACCTCCTCCAGGAAGCCTTCCAGAGTCCCAGGAATAACAATAAACACCACCCCCACAGCTAGTCCAGGGCTGAAGGCTTTACAAACATCTCACTCAAGTGTCAGGACAAAGCCCGCCCAGAGCAGCAGGGAAACTGTGCTCCAGAGCTCACCCAACACTGTCCACCACTTGCCCAATTCAGATCACCTTGGGAGGCAGGTCTGACTCCATCTTACCGATGAGTTAGTGTTGGCTCAGGGATGTGAAATAATGAGCTCAGGCATATGGCTAGTAAGAGGGTACAGGGATTTGAATCCAGGTCTGAGTACCAGCCTGTGCTCTCCCATGGCCCATAACCCCAAAGACGACATCTGCCACCTCTCTACATGCCCAGGGCACCTGCTAGCATTCCGCCTTCCCCAGAGACCTGAGCTCCTGCTCCAACATCACCCCCAGATGCTGGCCTGTGCCAGGCTTCAGGGATTTTCTCATGGAAGGTTTGGAACAGTCCTTTCTGGAACAGGAACAGTACTCAGTGACCTCTGGTAAACCCTTGGAGGCCCGTGAGTCTGGACATTTTCCCAGTGCAGCGTGACAAGCAGCATGAGTAAGTATGGAGCTGGCCTGCAAGTCAGTCTGCCTGGCCCCTCCAGGCTGCCACCAGGCCCAGGGTGCCAATGCCTGGAAAGGTGCTGGCAGTTCCATCCCTGAGGGCTGGGGCCAGAGCCACTTTCCCATCTCCTCTTCCAGGCAGCCTGCCATACTCTCCCACAGCACATGGGCAGAGAAAGCATTTCCAAGGTTTCTCTTTGTACAGAGGTGCCAAAGGGAAGGTCAATGGGCAGGCAGACTGGTAGAGACTGTGGGACAACGGCTGAGATCAAGAAGTTGCTCGAATAGCAGCAAGATGGGCCGCTCGGCTCTCCTAGCTGGAGGGAGAGCTCTACTCAGTGAAAGGGGTCACTCCCAGAAGGGCCCAGGAGCTCTGTGGTCTGTGTAAAGGCTCTTGGCTGACTTTCTGTGCCTGGTTTTTCTCCCCAAAGCCTGACATTCCACTTTTCAGTGACTGCTCTGAATTATGTACGCTGTGCCCGTATTCCATGGGCTTCCCTGACAGAATGCAGGGAGCCAGGCTTTGGAGCCAACAGTTCCTTCACTATAGGTGGGGCATCCCAAGCCTGTCACTGAAGTTCCCACCATCCATAAAAAGGGACATAAAAAGGTGACAGTGCAAAGCACTGGACTTATGGCCCAGTATACATCAGGTGTCATAAATGACTTCCTTTCCTACTTTCCAAGCTCATTAAAAATGTGTATGTCCCTCAAGTGGCTGTATTTTCAGGCTTCTGCAGGGACCTTTCCTTCCTGGAAGGTGGGGCTGAGGAACACAGAGGAGCAGAGGGAAGGCAAGAAGCTGCCTCATTGCATTTCTACTCGCCATCAGCAGAGGGAAGCCTGGCCATGCTTCCTGCTGCTGCTCGTGGGAGTGGGCCCAGCGCTGACACCGACTTAGGCAGAAACCCAAGTTCTATCACGGCAGGCAGTGGCACCAGCACTGATATCTATCAGCCCTGGAGCCAGGCGAGTGAACCACAGGCCGTCACGCACGGTCCTGGAGCAAGGTAGGTCCACAGAAAGCCAAGCAGTCTGTCACAGAGAACTGGTGTGTTCTGGTTCCTAGGGCCAGTGAGAAGGCAGCTTAGTGCCTAAGGTCTCAGCACAGCGACCCTAGTGCCTAGTGCCTAGAGGCCCAAGGAGGGCCTTGGAAATGGGTAAAACGAACCCACGTGAGGCGGGTCTGACACCCAATGATCTCTTGGCAAGCTTTCACCCAGGGCCACCGTGGCAGCATTTTGCTGCTACTTCCTTCCACCATCTCCACCTTTTCCTACCTCTGAGAGTTCTGGGAAAACACCTCTGGGGTAAGTCTTGGATTC